CCTTGGTTAGATAGGAGAACGGAGACACTAATAACCCTAAATTGGCGACAAGGGAAGTTTTTAAATACCAAATAACGGGTGATAAACTATGACTCTATGATCAATAACATAAGTTGACAAATTACAACCAAAATGCCACGCATGGTATCAAGAGAACGAACATTTTTCAATGAACATGGTGAGAGATGCGCCTTACTTGACTGCAGCGCTGAAGTGTGCCACCTCCTCACTCGACGAAGGTCACAGGCAACTGAATCGGAGACTTGTTATCGAGTTGCTTGTTGTCTTGTTTTCGGTTTCGTTTTTTATTCGGAATCTAACACATTTTTTTTTTTTGTGCATATTTTCTACATACGTAATTTACTGCAAAGTCGATTCTTTACTTTTACTGTATGAGTGCGGCATTTTTTGTTTGCATTTTACTGTATCTGTATAGAATTGTATTCATATATACATACATATCTGTAGATTTAAAATATATGAACATGCATATATAAATATGCATACATGTATATGTATATATACATATGTATAACATAAAAAAAGAAAAAGAAAAAAAGAAAAAAAATATATGTAATATATATATATATATATATATATATATATATATATATATATGTGTGTGTGTGTGTGTGTGTGTGTGTGTGTGTGTGTGTGCGTGTGTATGTATATATATGTATGTTTTATATGTATATGTATATGTGTGTGTGTGTGCATTTATTTGTACATACAGACATACATTATATATATGGGTGTGTGCGTGTATACATGCACACACACACACACACACACACACACACACACACACACACATATAATATATAGATAGATAAATAGATAGAGAGAGAGAGAGAGAGAGAGAGAGTAAAATAAACCAATAACATCTTTCTTCTCCTCCTCCTCCTTCTTTCTTTGCTCCTCCTTCTTTCTCCTCCTCCTCCTCCTTCATCTTCTTCTCCTCCACCTCCTCCTTCTTCTAATAATAATCCTCCTTCTTTCTTCTACTCTCCTCCTCCATCTTCTCCCCCTCCTCCTCCCCTCTTCTTCTTCTCCTCCTCCTCCTCCTATTCCTCTCCCCCTCCTCATGCTGCTCATCCTTCCTCTCCTCCTCCCCTCCTCTCCTCCTTCCCTCCCCTCCTCCTCCCCCTCCTCATCCTCATCCTCCTACCCTTCCTCCTCCCCCCTCCCTCCTCCTCCCCCCCTCTCCCCTCCTCCTCCCCCCTCCCTCCCCCTCCTCATCCCTTCCCCTCCCCTCCTTATCCTCCTCCTCCTCCCCTTCCCCTCCCCCCCTCCTCTTCCTCCTCCTCCCTTCTTCTCCTCCTTCCTCCTCTCTCCTTCTACTTCTTTCGCAACCCCATGCTAACAGGAAAAGAAATGGGTCTTGCGTCATCTTGGGCGGGAAACCCATCCCACTGGCGGCTCGACCAGAGATCCGCTGCAGAATACCGGGAAGAAAACAGCTGATTTGACTGTTCTTGCGTTACTATGTTGTTGTTTTTTGTTGTTTGTTTGTTTTGGTTTGGGTATTTGTTTGTTATTATTTTTGTTTGTTTTTTGTTTTGGTTTGGGTGTTTGTTTTTCTTTGTTTTTCTGTCGTAAGTGAATGAGAGAGACGGGGGTGGAGGAAGAGAGAGAGAGAGAGGGGGGGGGGGTGGAAGAAAAGAAGAGAGAGGGGGGAGAAAGAGAGAGAAAGAAAGCATGAGAGAGAAAGAGGGGGAAGGGAGAGAGAGAGAGAGAGGGGGGGGAGGGGAAGAAAGAGAGAAAGAGAGAGGGGGGGGAGAAAGAGAGAGAAAGAAAGCATGAGAGAGAAAGAGGGGGAGGGAGAGAGAGAGCGAGAGAGAGCATGAAAGGGAATAACTTTAGAAATGGATTCAGTGAGAATGAATAACTTCAGATATCAGTTTTGTTGTTGTTGTTGTTGTTTTTGTTTTTACATGTGTTCAGCGTATGTATCGCAAAGGATTTTTTATGGGAAAATTTCTATAGATTTTTTTTTTTCAAAATCAGTTTTGAAATGCGATACTTTTTTTTATGTCAGCTGGAAACACAAAAGACGATGAATGTGAGTCTTAAATCAAGGGAAGGAGATAATTATGAGAGGGCGATAATAATGAGAGGGAGATCATTATGAGATAATTCATGAGTCATGAACTGCACTTGGTCGTGTAGTTCCCGTCAGACCTGGAAGTCAGTAGACGGATTGACCAGGCAGCAGGGGTCATGAACTCTCCGACAAGAGTAGAGGGAGTCCGCGATTTCGACGGAGACCGTTCCTACGATGGCGTCGTAACCCGAACTTTGACGTAAGTCGGGACACACCTAAATACACTACATGTACGTACGTATATAAGCACCGGTCACTCACATATGTTAATGCAGTATATATTGTCATAATCTAAAACATCACAAGACACTTCTATGACGTACATGAAAATAACTAGGCCTAAAGGAACACATGCAAGACAATTGTAGATACTGTACATGATTTCTATCGGTGTATCCACGAAACGAGGAAACTGAGGACCAACCTGTATTTTGGAGATGCCAGTACCTGTGGACAGGAGGACCAAGCTACGTGTCTTCAAGGCCCTAATACCGACACTTTTACTCTACGCTAGTTAAACCAGGACGCTATCTTGTGCTTTGGAAACTCGTTTTGATGCCTTCTGTAACAGGTTCTTGCGCCGCATCATGGGGTACAGGTGGCGGGGCCGCGTGTTCAAACCAACGGTTACGCCATGAGACTGGCATGGGACGTTACTTGTGTTTCCGCGACCGCCAACTCAGGCCATGCGGGCACCTCGGGAGGATCCTGGCCCTCTTGGTTGTCGCTATTTGAGAGAACATGGGGTGAAGGAGGCCGATGGGACGACCTAGGAAGTCGTGGCTTGGGCAGATTGATCGGAGTTAACGTGGGAACTAGAGATGGGTCGCGGTCCTTGACTGGCGGCTCGCCATGAGGGATCCTCGTAGGTGGAAACGAAGTGTGGGTGCGGTTATGCGCCCCCGTCCGGCGTTAGCTCCCAAATGCTGATGATAACATGAACTGACACACACGTACAAATACAAATACACACACGTACAAATACAAGCACACACACACAAACAAGCATAACACGCATACACAAACAAACACACACACATGCAAACGCACACACATAAACATAACACACATACACACACTCACACACACACACAAACACTCACAAACTTAGCTAACGATAGATATATTTGTCTTTTCAACAACTCACATAAAAAATAAAAAAAAAAAAAAACTAAGAGACAAAATAAAGTTTGAAGTCTGGGCTTGGATGAACGGAGAAATAAAAGCTAAGACAATGCAAAACCGAGTCTCATTTGAGCAAATAAACACAGGATAGACTGTTAGCAGTTTCTGAGAATATGTAGACAGGGAATCCCGTATAGAGGCATGCGCATCCCGTGAAGGTGAAATAAACATTAGGTTAGGTTGATGTGATGATCCAGTAGACACAGTAAAGTGAAAGCACAAATAATGAATAGATAAATTGATTCATTCATTATCTTCTTGTTATTCTGCCTAAAGTCTTCAAACAATGCAGTTTCCGAGAAGAAAAAAGAAAGAAAAAAAAATGAACTGAGGGCCAAATTACATGAGGAAAAATATTAAGTGGTCTGTGAGAGAATGGAAAGATTGATACGAATAATTAGCCTACATTAAACATATATCAATTTCGTCTTTTCCTTTCTTTTATATTTCTTTCTTTCTTTCTTTTCTCCAGTCTTCGCCGTTCTCTCCATATCTTTTAGCATGATTTCAGCACATGAACACAACACTGTTTTTCTCAAGTAATTTGTCCGTGGTCCATTTTTTTTTTTCCTGCATATTATTTCGTTTATTATTATTATTATTATTTATTAAGGCACGGGTGAACATGTAAACAAAACAACGTAGGAACGAGTAGAGAAACATACGGAAATGAAAAGGCATTTGACTGTAAAGATAGCAGAAATATTGGAGGCAATTCATAAATAAGATGGGGAAAGAGTTATTGTAGAATAATGGAAGATTTACACACACACACACACACACATAAACGTGGAGACAATCAAACCTTTTTCTTTTTTTGAATTCCTCAAAATTAGTTTTTTTTCTCAAAATTGTGTTTATTTGAAAATTCCTGGGAAGGGAGTCCATAACTTCCATTAGATTCTAAAAGGCTCCGTGACTCTCAAAGGCTCAAGAAAATCATTGCTCAAAGGGATTGGAAAGAAATGACACTGGACACGTCATATGTAAACTGTTTCGGGACACAACGCCATTAAGTTGACATAATATGAATAAAGAAGAGAATAACACATTGGAACGCAGCAACGACAGAGAGACCAAGGTTAGAAGCACACACACAAGCACACACACATTCACGCACGCACACACACAAACACACACAACACACAACACTCACACACACACAACACACACACACACACTCACACACACACACGCAACTCACACACCCACACACACACAAATACACACACACGCACACACACACACACAAAACACACACACACACACACACATATATTACACACACGCACACTCACACACACACACACATATATACACACACACGCACTCACACACACAAAACACACAGCACACACACACACTCACACACA